CATGAAAAAATTAACACCTTAATGGGGGGGGGGGGTCATGGAAAACTTGCACCGTTTCTGCTCTTTTTCCTCCAGCCCACCCTGACATATATATAATTAATGAACGGTCCCTTAATTAATATACAAGTTTTTCATGTTCATTGGATTTAAGAAGATAACTTAATAGGATTTACTATCCCATGCTCTTTCATCCGAAATAATCATTGTCAGTTTTATCTTCAGACTCCAAGTTTATCAGCCATGCATGTAGCGACTTAAACGGTCTCAAGAGACTGTTTAAGTTTACATATGGCAGGATAGGCAAAATTTAACTGGTGAATAGTGCTAAACGGGCTTGGTACAACACGATTTCTCGAGCATTTACAGTTGTGCCAATAGAAGCGTTCCGAAAAATGTTGACCAGTTAATTTCCTAACTTTGAGGAGTTACTCTGAACAATTCCTCAACAATTTGATAAATTCCTTAATTTAAAAGGTTCCTAACTTCCTGTTTCATTGACCAATCAAATTTTATATTTTATTTTTGAGCAATCTGATTGGTCAATGAAACAGGAAGTTAGGAACTTTTTAAGTAATTTTATATCAAATTGTTGAGGAATTGTTCAGAGGAACTCCTCGAAGTTAGGAAATGAACTGGTCAACATTTTTCGGAATGCTTCCATTGGCACGACTGTAAATTTTATCTGGCGGATAGCGAGTTAAACGGTATGTGGCTACTTAAACGCCTTTGATACAACCGCCCCCTGGGCCCAGTGTGGAAAGTTTGTACTGCGCACCCGAGATATCGGGCACACAATTTTGATGCTTTCTATATAGTTACTATTAAATTTTCGAAATCTTGGCCGTGCAATTTCCAAGCTTTCCAGTCAGGCCACACCAGAATGACAGGGCCGTAAGTTCACTTCCTGCCACAGGGCCTATAGTTGCATCTTTCGCAGTTGCTCCTGATTAGGTGTAAAATTGTATATAATCTTCCGCTAGAAATTTCCATCTACAAAAACCCTTCAACTGTTAATAGTTCCATCGAGCAAGATGTGAGATGTCCAAAAATCTCGACTTTGGGAATCACAAAGTTGTTTGAGATTTATGACAAACCGAACCTGAACCTATAGCAACTCACCTTTAAACTTAGGGATGAACGGCTTCAATGCGGAGGGCATTTCTTGGTAAAACTTTAATTCCTTTGAAAATAACGGCTTACATACAGTATACTTGTCAAACTGTTGAAAGGTGGAATGGCCACCAACTTGGTGTACGAAAGGCCGAAGTGAAACTGTATGAACTTCGCTTTTCGTATCTTCCATTACTTCACACTATTAGCCTTAGTATGTAAAGAAGCAGATTTTATCGCTTCATCTTCTCTGTTAATATAAACCATGGACTAAATGCTGCAAAACAGGTTTAATTTTTTTATCCCAAACGTTAATTTACAAAATTTCAACGTCTTGTTTATATCACCTGACTCTTCACCAGCTTTCCATGCAAAGAGTCGCGAATGGGAACGAATGAGCGTATCATATTCTTGGCAGGGGAGAATGTGACTCTCACAATTTACATAGCTGTTTGTTTGAAACAGTGGTTGTAAGTATGTAAAGCAGTCTTTTTGCACCTTTAAACTTCAACTTATTTGAAAAATAATAAAAAATATTACATTTCGACGAACTTCAAAAATATTCTTATTTCTTACGCCAGCCCAACTTGTCCTATTTCAAAAACATTTTTATCAGCTCTCCCCCCGGATTTTATTACGTACCATTTAGAAAAATTGGATTGTGGGTCAGCAAGATGGCGTAATGATGTTCATTATCTTGTATATTAAAACTGTGAACAGATCTGCGTTTTCCTGGTAGTTTCACTGCAATCTGAGTCGATTTTCGCACTTTGTAACGGTGAAAGAAAATGCCAAAAGTTCATTATCTAAACACCATTAGAACTTTTGATAAAGATGGATTCAAAAAAAGAGCTGGGTGTCTGTGCTTTAAGTCGGAAGCAGAAAACGAGGTATGTTCTGTCGTTGAAAATAACACATCGTGTAAATTTAATACGAAGAACTTTATTAAGTACCAATCAAGTATTGTCTATTATTTAAACTTATATAATATAGAAAGATTATCGGGGAATTTAAATGACTTTAACAATGTTGACACATTCTATTCTAATATTCTACGAATCTATACAACTATATTTGCTTCATTTGCTTGTTTATAATAATATAAAATTCACTTAATTGTTGAAATGTTCAGATTTTATATTTTTAAATATATATATTTTTAATATATGAATTAATTTGACTTTAGTAATACTTTGTGTCAATTCAAATTTTGGGAAATGGAGGTATTTTATATTCAAACTGCCTTTTATATAATTTTCAAAGACCTATGTTTCGCCCACCCTAAAATTTGCGGGTTGATGGAAAGGGCGAAACGTAGGACGGTATGTCTGACAAAAATGTTGTCAAAAGTCAGTGCATGTAAGTAGTCGACCGCCAGGTGTTCGACTAAGTTGATTGGCTGATTCACAGGGAAAGGGGTTGTGATTGGTTGGTTGCTAACATCAGAATATATTTCGAAAAGATCAGAATATATTTCAACGGTAAATCAATGCATATAATATGCATATAGTGTAATATCCTGTGGTAATATTCTAAATATTTTTGAGGTCAAACGACAACTAGTCTATCAGCATCTATACCGTAGGTCGATCTGATGAAAATGTTGTCCCTCTGATTGGCTAATTGCCTAATTCACAGGGAAATGGGTTGTGATTGGTTGGTCGTTAACATGAAAAGATTTGAAAAGATCAGAATATATATCAACCAGTAAATCAACGCATATAATATGCATATGTAGTAATATATTTCGAAAAGATCAGAATATATTTCAACGGTAAATCAATGCATATAATATGCATATAGTGTAATATCCTGTGGTAATATTCTAAATATTTTTGAGGTCAAACAACAACTAGTCTATCAGCATCTATACCGTAGGTCGATCTGATGAAAATGTTGTCCCTCTGATTGGCTAATTGCCTAATTCACAGGGATTGACATGAAAAGATTTGAAAAGATCAGAATATATATCAACCAGTAAATCAACGCATATAACATGCATATGTAGTATTTTTGCACAAGTGAACATAACAAATCCTACACGTTGATTGGTCAAATTTGACGTAATAAGCTGTTTTATTATTCATTGTACTGTGTTCTCGGTTTTTCATTGGCTAAGAGCCTACAAATAATTTTGGGTATTTGTAGGTGCCTGTGCTATTTCCAGCGGAAACAGTAATCTGCAGAGGTTATTGGACTGCACCCAAGATATTTCAGCGGTATTTTATGTGAAAATACAAATTGGCGGGAAATTTTTAGTTGAATTTACGAAAAGTTAACCAATTCAATGAATATTTATTTGTTTTCAATTGTTGCTTGTTTTGTTTTCTTTCTGTCACAAAATGAATAATAAAACAATTATTGAATTCGGCTTGTGCAGGATACCAGAATTATTCAGTCCTCGGTCAATGTTACTGCCTCAGCCTTCGGCTTCGGCAGATAACATTGACCTCGGTCTAAATATTAATTCTGGATATCCTGCTCAGCCTCATCCAATAATTGTTAAATATTCACCTACAGGTGAATATAACAAAACAGAAATTTTCAAAATGGCGGCTACCTGTTTGTGGAAGTTTACTGACAAAGAAATAAGCGAAATTAAAATAAATTCTGTCTCAAAAAACACAACTCGACTTCGTCTCGGCGAATATTCCCCGATAATCACCTCGCCTTCAGCGAATAATTGTTAAATAGTGTAATATCCTGTGATAATATTATTATTCTAAATATTTTGTGAGGTTGAACGACAACTAGTCTATCAGTATCTACCGTCTAAAATTAAAACTAGAGGGGAGTAGAGCAGTATGTGTCAAATACTTCAGTGTTGTGTCTTTCTGTTGTAATATTACTAGTTAATATACGATTATACAATAATTTTACATGATCTAAGTTTTGTGATTAATCATAATAAAACTGATACAATGATACAAATGTACTTTCAATACAATTAAGTGAAATCGTCAACTTTCATTGTATTTTTAAGGTGTTACATGTAAATGTGTCAATCGTCATCGTTAATTATTGCAAAATGCAAAGTGTGTGGAAGGCGCTTTTGACAACATTTTCATCAGAGTGTTATTTTCCACTGGCTGAGGCACAAAAGAAGCGGAAAATGTTTTCTCACACACTGCGGGGGGCCTAATGAAATCAGGGGGTTACAGGGTGGTGCAGGTTATATGAGCATATTTTTGTTGTTGCTCACCATAGCTTGACAGTATCTCACCCACCCAACCCGTTTAGTTTTATAGTAGTGATTAGGGGAACAGAATAACTTTGGATGTGTATATGGTACTTGTTATGGTTATTATGTAGCAGACATTCCAACCACTGGAGGTAAAGTTTAGGGAGACTATTCAGTGAATTGAAATCTAGTTCTTCTGGGAAAAAATAATAAAAATTAAGTCTTCTGAAATGGTGTTTCCTGCATTTTGGGACTATGTTATTATAAGTGATCCTATAAACTGCCATAAAGCAACTTCAAAAAAGGTCAAGACAGACTATTATGTTGCTAAAAACAGTATATTTATAATTTTTTATGATATTTCCTGAATATTCTGAAAAATCGGGAGAATTTGATAAACATCCGGAGACCGGGAGATTGCATGAATTTTCGGGAGACTCCCGGTAAAATCAGGAGAGTTGGAATGTCTGATGTAGCGAGCAATTGTATGGTAGTTTAATAAATGTCAAGCTTTGCGGCTGACGCTGCAGCAGCTCCCAGCGGTGTGTGAGAACCTATTGTTTTGCCCTTTCCGCCGACCCGTGAATTTTAGGGCAGGTGAAACGTAGGTCTGTTTTCAGGCTACCAGCAGCCTGTCCATAGCCAGCCCACTAAACGACTGAATTTAAATTAAAATTGCAGTGAAATTATAAAATTAGCGAACATTTGTCACAAATTAGTGAAATATATACTATTAGCGAAATGTAGCTTATATTAAATCGCCACCCGATTGCACTACCGGCGAACTGGTGTATAGTTATAAAGTATACCTTAGAATGTATACTAATAAGGTATGCTTTATAACTATATGTCAGTTCGCCGATAGTGCACCCGATTGCACTATCGGCAAACTACATCTGTGCTGACGTATATATAAGTTATAAAGTATACCTTATAATGTATACTAATGCAAAATTGCACCCAAAGTGATTCTCCAACCCATAACACTAAATTATTCAATAGAATAAAGCTATAGGATATACAGTAAGTTTTATAATAGCTTTGCAGATATGAAACAAAAGCTTGCACAATATGATAATTTTTCATCGTTTTCATTTCTAATTTCTAGGTTTATATAATTGCATGATGTACTGTATACAGGGTGTATAAAAAAAAGCGCAATCCTCGACTGAAATGTAAATTGCCAAACAAATAATAGACGAAAACGTTAAAGTTTACATTCATTTTAAAGCGTAGCCATTCAGCTTTCTAACAGTGGGTTGTTTCTTAAATTTGACTCATTGGTTCGCGGGTAATAATACTTTACGCTATTGCGATTGGAGATTAAAAAAATTGAGATGGAATAACAAATCGTTCTCATGAAAATAACTGATTTTTTCATTAAAACAAACAAATGTTGCATTTTATTAAATGGATTGTAACAATAAGTATAATTACGGCTTTTCTTCCACTATTTTTAACTCAGTTTGAAACTTCAAATGCGAAATAATTTTGGCTTGGACCATCTAAGTTGACTGACATCAACTTGCTATAATTTCTGTTTACATTACATCGCAATTCGATGACACTCTGGCTCAAACACCAGAATGTTTTGACGATTTTTAGCATTCGCTTAGGATTTTCAAACAACCTGGTCTCTTTTAAAATACTTTTAATTTGTTCTTACGTGGTTTTCCAGATGTAGTGACGACATCATTAAAGTTTAAAGAAGAAAATTCTAA